CTGTTTGGGAAATCATTTAGACACATTTCGGTGCCGTATGACACATCTCATTACGCCTCGCTTTAGAACGAGCAATTGTCATTAGTTATTTATTAATTGCTTATTAAGGTCGTTATGTATGTCTTCTTTGTTTCCAGCCTTCTTTCTTCATGGCTTTGGCTGCTGCCAGGTTTGTGAAGGGGGGGACCAATCCCTTGGCAAAGCTGTGCTGAACCTGGGAAGGGGGTGGTGGTGCCAAGCCAGGGTGCAGGCAGCCCTGGGGAGCAGGACGGGCACCCACAAGGGGTTTGTGTACAAACCTCGGTGGCTGAGCAGGCTCTGAAGCTGTTTGCCCTTCCTCATACCTTTGGACAGGCTCAAAACAGCTCCTGATATGATGGAAGGATGATATGAAGCAAGGATGATATGATGGAAGGATGATATGACAGAAAGACGAAGGCCTCTCTGCTTTTCTCTTAACTATAATTGTGTTAGAGCAGCACAAACTGATTTAAAAGCCCATTATAATACACCTGTATTTGAAGGCGCAGGGCTCTCAATTTGCTCCCTAAAGGCGGAAAGCTTTGGAACACAAAAGAGTGTTGAGGAGGAGGCACCATGGAGGTGCCTGGCACTGTGGCAGCCAGCACTGCACCTTCTCCTGACCTGGCAGCTACAAAGTGCTCTGGTTACAACCTGGAGGAGTCCTGGAGCTGGATGTCGGGGTCCCTGCCTTGGGCAGAGCCTCGGCTGACTGAGGGTGGGCTCGTTTTGATTCCACATTGCTGGAGCAGGGATAGGACACCCGGGATCCCCCTCACCCAGTCCCAGTGGCAGCACCTGTGGCAGCAAGCTCTGTAAAACACAGGGAAGTCTGAGTGTGACAGCAGTAAGAAGCTGTTCTGAAAAGCAGGAGCAGTGTCAGGCTGATGCTCAGGAAGCTGCCAGTGCACATCACAGATCGCCTGCAGAACGCAAGTCTGACTCTCCTTTTTCTTTCTTTCAGACACTTTTATAGTTGTTCTTTGTTGTTTCCTTTGATTTGGAGCAGATGTTGCTCGTGCTGGAAGATGGAGGTTTGCATGTTTTATGAAGAGGAAGCAGGGCTGGGCTTACCAGGACAGCCACTCTCTCCCAGACTGTGCGAGGGGCTGACACCCCTTAGCTGGGACAAGCACCTGCTCTGCCTCCTCCCACAACAGGAGGGTTTGCTGCTCTGGAAGAGTCACAAGTACATTTCTGCTGGCCTTGGCTCACAAAAGTGGGTAGAAGGGGGGTGGTTAAGGAAAAAAAAATGCATTTGTGCCTTGAAAAAGGAATAGACCACTTGGTGAGGCTCATTTGAAGTCTCTTTGTCGGTCTGAGGTGAGAGGTTGTTCAGATGCACCCTCCACTCAGTGTGGCTGAAGTTTGGGGTGCTGGGGTGTCAGGAGACAGAGGTGGGGACACAGGGTCAGGGAGAGGACAACCCAGACAAGCAGCACAGTCAGTACATGCCAGGAAGGTGGGTGGGGAGGGGATGATGATGGAGATGGAGGTGGCAGGGCCCAAGCATGGAGGCAAAGCTGGTGATGTTTATGCAGTGTGGGATGAGTTATAAAAGGCAGCTGGAGGAATAATCAGGGAAAGCCTCAGTCCTGCAGTGGGTGCCATGGCAGAGGCAGCAGAGGAGGTGGCAGAAATGCCAGGGGAGCCCCGCCACATCCCCAGGATGTGAAGATCTGTGTGCAGCACTGCTGTGGAATACAGTCATGGGATCTGTGAGCTGTGCACCTGTGCTGGCTCGGGAGCGGGTGTTTGGAGGTGAAAGCAGAGAGGGGAATATCATCTGTGCCAGTGGCGGGAGGGCGTCTGTGCGCCAGGGAATAGATGTGTGTCGGCAAGCACATATGCTTGGATCCAGAAAGACATCTATCACCTGCCTCAACACCCTCCAACGTGGAGCTCACCATATGCTTTGGTTAAATATTTAAGCAAGCTGCTTTCTGTCCTGGGGACTCCTCGTGTGCACGTGGGAACCGCGTCAGGGAGAGCTCGGGGCATGCCCTGGGCACCTGCAGGGGGCTGAGAGCACCCAAAACCTTCCCCAGAGCCGTGGCAAGGATGGAGGGGGGGAAAAAAGAAGGAGCTGGATGAATAAAGCACCAGCCTGCCTCTGGGGAAATCTGTGCAGTGTCACCGGAGCAGCTTGGCCAACACTGCCATGTTTAATCTCTTCCGAGCAAGAGAGATGCTGAGCACAAAAGGACTGCCCGCAAGGAGAGGGCTCCCGCCTGGGAAGCCTGCATTTACTTAGCTTTATTTATTTATTCATTCCCAAAGGGGCACATCTCCATCTGCTTTCGGCTGAGGAAATGTCTCCTCTGCCCTGCTGCTGCAGAAATGCCAAGTGCTGGTGAAAGTCCTTTAATGCAGAGGGAATGGAAGTGCTGGTGACTGTTAAATAATATTAAATATATACATGGATCATTTATTTATTAAGATTTCCCTCCCTAGTCTGGTAAAAGCCTTACAAAACACCTGTTTTGTCTCTAGAAAGGCATTTGGAATAGTTTGTGCGGTTAAATATTCAAATATCTAATTAGCATACAATAACCACTGTGTTAAATCCTACCACTGCATAGACAATTCCAGACTTAGTTAACAGCTTCAGTGACGTTTCTCTGGTTTGCTTCCCAAATGTTCTTGCCTCCTCTCATTCCAGATGGAGCACAATAAATTGCATCTCCCACAAGTTGTCCTGAGCTTGCCAGAGTATGGTGAACTCTTCCCCTGTTGCATGAGCAGCTCGAGCTGCTTTTTACAGAATTATGGAAAGGTTTGAATTTGAAGGGACCTTTTAAGATGCTCTAGTTCCATCCCCTGATGTGTGCAGGGACTCCAACCTGGCCTTGAACACTTCCAGGGATGGGGCAGCCACAGCTTCTCTGGGCAACCTGTGCCAGGGCCTGCCCACACTCATTATAAAAAACTTCTTATACCTGTCCTAAATCAACCCTCCTCAGGTTAAAGGCATTCTCCTTAGTCCTACCAATCAAACACAAGTTTAAGTTGTTTTAATTATGTTTTATAACCTGGTCAGTTGATTTTTGTCTCTTGCCTGGGTGGGTGCAAGTGGGTCTGTGCAGTCCCAGAGTAGCAGTGTAAAGTCTGTCTTGTTTTTTTTTAAAGCCTCTGCAAAACAAGCTGAATTGGGTCGATGTGGATTCAGCAGTTAAAAACATCAGAAAGGTTCCTCTGTGATGCAGCAAACAGCACATTAAAGATGATGGATGCTGCTTTAGTTTTATTGGGACTTAGAGCTGGAAGCTCTTGCTGCTTCCCAGACAAAGGTGGGGATCACTGCACCTCTTCTTGGCTCTTCCCACCTCTGCAAAATGACAATGGTAGTACCCCCTTGGCCTATTTTTGTTGTCCAGACCACGTGCTCTGTGTTTTTAGAGCACACATGGATTTCCTGGCTGGCAGTCCCAGCCTCACTGGGAGCACAGCAGGGCAATCATAACGATGTTGTAATTAATTGCATCTCCCCAATGGACCTGGCCATGGGCAGAGCATTCCCAGCTCTGAGTGGTCCCACAAGGAATGTGCTGTCCCCTTAGTGACACTGAAGCACATGAATATTTCTTTAGGTGTTGTCTGTGTGCCCTCCATTGTCCTGCTCCAGAGCCCCCTCTGTTTGGGAGCAGCTGATCCAGAGTTGTTCTCCAGTGCATGATTAGCAGATTAGCCATCATGCCCAGAGCAGCAAAAAAATGAACTCCCAGAAGCCCTTCAAAACAGAGAATAATTCATTACCCACCTTGATTTCCACTTAAAATGTACTTTAACTACACTTCCAACTACAAACCCTAAATCACCATCATGTTCACAAAAAATCCATCATTTTTTATTTTATTGCACGGCACTGGCATGACATAATCCCTTCCAGAGCGTCTTGGAGTGCTTTACGGATCAATAAATTACTTACCTGCACAGCAGAGGCATTGCGTGCAAGGCCATTGCAGTCATTCCGGCTTGGAGCAGCCCAGGAAGGTGTGGGAGGTGGGGAGAGGTGGGGAAGGGAGGCTCGGGAGTGGGGTCTGAGGCAGGATTTGGGTGTTGGGCTGCAGCCCCAAGTGGGGTGATGGATGGGGCTCTCCCAGCCCGGGTGATTTGTGACTCTCCTGCAAAGCGCTGCAGCAGGGTGCCAGTCCCTGCTAGGCTCCAGAGAAAGCCTGGAAACAAACCCAGGAAGGTGATGGTCTTTATTATATTCTGATAACAGCAGCTGATGGTTTTTCCTCACACATCCCCACCGTAGATCCCCCAGGAACCCCAGCCCTCCCCAGCAGCCACATCGTGTCCTCTGCTCATGCAGCAGCAGGAGCTGAGGGCTCCCTGCTTGCTCCTCATCCCCTCCTAGCCCCCTCCTCATCACCCCCATCCTGTACCTGTGTCCCCTCCTGGGGCCTGTATCTGACCCCTGAGTGCTCTGGGTGGCAGTTCCAACGCAGGGGGACAGATCCACGCAGAATTTCCCTCCCTGTGCATGGTGCTTGACCTTAGAGGCTCCTCAGCAAACTCTCTCTTCATGCCCATCTCCTCTCGGTGCTCCTGTGCTTACAAGGGCCTGGCAGAGAGCCTGCACAGCTGCAGGAAAAGCTGCAGCAGTCTGAAGGGGGTGACTCGTGTTTTCTGAGGAAGATGCAGCTCTGCTGGGAACAGTTTGTCGTGGCTGAGACAAGGAATGCTGGAAGTGGGGTAGGAAGAAGTGCTGTCTCACACCACAGAGGAGCTTCTCGAGCCTCCCTAAAATGACTGAATCCCCTCTGGCTACAGTTTCTTCCCACTTCAGCTGTATCTTCTCTGCCCCCTCTTTTCCCTGTTTGTTCCTGCCAAGTCAGATGAGACTGATGGGCTTCTTCATAGACTGTCAGAGCAGAGGGAGGATGGAAATTCAGCCTCCTTCACCCACAGTTTGAGATTTCACTTGAAGCAGAACCAGTTTCATTTTCCTTCTCCTCTTTGCATCATTGCAGTGTCTCCAAAAATCATCGAGATCTCTTCTGACATCTCCATCAACGAGGGTGGCAACGTCAGTCTCACCTGCATAGCCACGGGCAGGCCAGACCCAACAATCACCTGGAGACACATCTCACCCAAAGGTAAGAACCAAACATCACCAGAAATACTTTGGGAAGGGCACAGCACTGTTTGTGAGTGGCTGGGGAAGGGTCAGTGGCTCATTCTGCTGCCAGGAGAAAGTGAAATGCATCAAAACAACAAGTCCTCAACACAGGACTTGGTGACTTTGGTGGAGGAACATCCACCCTGGTGCTCTAGAAGAGGAGCTGATGGTTTTGGTCCTGTGGAGGACTGGCTGCAGGTGCCAGGTTGGGGTTGTTGCGCTTGGATGTTTATAGAATCAGGGAATACTCTCCACTGGAAGGGACACACAAGGATCATGGAGTTCCTGCATGGGGCACTCACATTGAACGTTGATTGTGCTTTTCTGGCCATGTTTTGAACATTTTTCAGGCAATTCTTACAGGTTGCTTCAAAGGAGGATTGTAAATAGTGCAAATGAGCAGGAAAACACACAAAGCATTAATTGGTGGCCTTGTTAATTGGTTAGCAAACCCTCAGCAGAACTGTGTGGGTGTGACTGCTGGGAAGCAAATTCCCAGGCGTGCAGGACCGTATAATTCCAACCCCCTTTCCCAGCTGCTTTTTGGCATTTGCTTTGCATTTTGCTGCCCTGTTATCCCCAGGAGGCTGCGAGGTCCTCATGGGTGAGCCGGGGGTGAGATCCGCAGGCTCCGGGTGGGATGAGCCGTGCGGCCAAGCGGAAGCGCCTGACTCTGATCCTCTGATCCTGTCTAAGTGCTTCAGTTCCACCTCAGAGTCGTGTTTCCCCTGAGGTTTTACCAACGTGGGCTGTTGTTCCAGACAGCTGCTTCAGGCTCTCCTCGGGGACACCCGGCCAGGCTGTCCGGCAGCCGAAGGAGCCGACGCAGGGGCGGCAGTGACGGCTGGCGCCGGGGCTGCTCTCCCTGCCCAGCTCCCGACGGGGCCTGCGGTGTCTCACTGCAGCTCCATTGATTTTTTGCTATTTGTCTGTGCTGGAGTGAATGGCTGGGCCAGATCCATCACTCTGCAAAGCCCAGAGCGAGCTGAGTCGGCGACATCTCAGCTCCTTCCCTGGACGGGAGCCTCTACAAACCGTTCTCCCAGAGCACATTTTGGCTTATCCACTGTGGGTGGTCTTGCTTCTGAGCTGGTGGCTTTGGTCAGGGTCTGTGCATGGATCCACACGCTCCTCCCCATCCCTGAGCGTCTCTCTATGAAATCAAAAGTTGCTGTCACTGTGTGTCACCACCAGGCAGCATTTATGGTCGAGGCACTCCATGCGTTCCCACCTTGAAGCCTTTTCTTCCTACTCTTCCCCTTGTCTACCCTGACAACATGTTTTTGTTTTGCTCAGCCTCCTCAGCACCTGTTTTTCACAAGCATCTTGTTTTCCCACAGCCCCACTCTCCTTCCTACATCCCCTTCTGCTCCCCAGAACCCTCATCTCCCACATGTGCCCCTTTCTGCCTTCTCCCACATGCCATCCATCCTCTCCTAACCAGGCTCCCAGCTCCTGATGCCTCTGTCTTTCACAAGGGCTATTTTCTGTGTTTGCTGCCATCCAGCAGGTTTTTTTCCCCGGGGAATCTTTACATGCGCTTGAACCAGATGTTTCCATTTTACTTAGGACTTAGCTGCTATGGAAACTGAGGATGCACCAGGAGAGGAAGAGTGAGCTAATCAGAAATTACCTGTGGCGCTGTGTAATTTGCAGCAGCAGCTCTTTCCTGATTTTGGCCATGATTAGGCATTCTGCTTTCAAAACTCAAAGGGAACAAATGATCACAGAGATTTACCAGAGTCAGGTCTCCTGCTGATGGAGGGTGATGAGCCCAGAGGTGGCCCAGGACAACTTCCATGGTTGCCCATCTCCGTGGGCAGCTCCTCTGTTTCTAGGTCTGCCAAGCCACCAAGGGGAACCTCTACTTCTCCATTTTGCATTCACCACACACGGCAAAGATGAGGATTGGAAGTGTGAGGACTGAAATGAGAGCCAGAGAAAATGCATAGAGGTGCTATAGCAGATGCTGGGATGGTATCCCTTTTCCTAGCAGGATACATTCTAATTCGGAGTGCCAGGGGCAAGAAAAATCCAAAGTTTGCTGCTGGCCCCTCTTGGTTGTTGTTCTGCTGCTCATCCCATGGGAAGCCTCGAGCGAGCTGCCTCCTGTTCCTTCTCACCATCCTCCTCCATCTCGCTTGAAGTGGTGGAGAAAAGGGACGAGGGAGAATTGTTTGAGAGGATGCTGGTGCATAATTTAAGGGTTTACACAGCGGGTGGGGAGTGGCTCTGAGGGGTGCTGCTTGGACAGGCTGTGCCAGCGCTGTGTGTGCCAGGCATGGCCACACAGGCAGCTGAAGGACTGGTCCCCACGCTGACACTGGGGAGTGCTGCTCTGTGCAAAGGCACTTCACGGGTTTTATGATTTCCTTGGCACCTGTGAGCACACAGCTCACCTCTTGGTGGGAAATGGAGCAAATAAGAGTGTTTGCTCAGCAGGGAGGGTATGGGCAGGCCTTTCAGAGGATGTTCACCAGGAGCAGCCCAGCTCCCCGGTGACTGATCTCACTCAAGACCCTTTGCCAGCCCTCCAGGCTCCTGTGAATGCTTGGCTGTTCTCTCTGCTCCAATTAATTTGCATTCAGGTAAACTCTGCTGAATTATCCTGCCTGCAGCTGTTGCCATGTTGTAGGAGCTGTTAAGCCCATTTTGGAAGCTCTGTTTGGTTTGGAGGCTGGAGGAGATCCTGCAGCTGGGATGAGGAGACCGTGTTCATGGTATAACTCAAGAGCTCAGTGAACCTGAGCAAGAGAGTTTTCTGCTTCTGATTTTGTGAAACACAGGCATGCTGGCCCTGTTGGTGCCTCCATCAGTACTCAGACCTTAGTCCTGCCTGTGCCCATCCTCATCCTCCAGCAACAAAATGAACAAAACCAGGCTACTGGCTCTGGAGAAGTGTTTTGTGAGCCTGTGGCCAGTCCAAAGAAGGTGTGATACAGTCTGTCTTCTGTCCCTCTGCCTCACTTCTCTCTGTCTTATTTTATTTCTCCTCCCAGTAATGCTGTATTCACTCACAGCAGCTCCTGTTAAAGCAGCTGAACAGATTGAGGGGGAAAAAGAAGTGAAGCTGCTGGAGTCACAGCTTCTTCTGCCTCAGCAAAGGAGGCTTAACAGCTTTGAGGCTCTGTCCTGGGCTTGGATGCTCCAGCTGGCATCACAAGTACCAGTGGAGCTGCCAGGCACTGGAGCTTCAAAACAGCTCTCTGAAACTACTGTGAGGTGCCAAGACCTGGCATGGGATGGGAGGGGGCAGCTCCATCCCTTCTTGGCACCCCCGTGGGGCCCAGATACTTGGGATGGAAATTAAGAGAGGCATCTTGAGGGTGAAGGGAGGGAGCAAAAAAAGGCAAATAGGGAGTAATGATGTAGATAACATCATGTGGCTTAGGTATAACACCTGACATAAAGGCAGCAGCATGTGCCCAGGGGAGGTGGAAGTTGCACAGACTTGGACTCAGAGCCTGAAAGGCAGCTCTGTGTGTACCCATAAACATCCATTTTGCACCCTTAGGTGCCAAACATGTCTGTGTTTCCAAGGCTTTGGCTGGATTACAGTCCCCAGCCTCGTGGTGCCAACACTGTCTGTAAACTGTGGCGAGGTCTTCTAGCTAGTAGCCTGGTTTTGGTCACTCAGGTGTTTCCATAGCTACTGGGCTTTTTATTTATTTTTGGTGGGGGTAACTGATGTTGTCATGGTGATTGTCATACTGTCAGGCCAGTTTTCATCTCTCAGTGGAAGAAGGCTGGGATTTCTTGGCTGGGAAAAAGCACAGCATCCCAGGCCACCAGGCTCAGGGGGACGCCAAGGCACTGGCAGAGAGAGTGGCACCGTGTTGAGCTATCCAGGGGATGTTTATCAGCACTGCACACGCAAAACTAGTCATGCCTCCCGTTAAGCTCAGGAAATATGCCGAGGAATTGAAGTGAGGGATCTTCCAGGAGGGATGAAGGAAGGCTCAGCAGCCTCTGTCCCAGGATGAGCAGACACAGTTTAGCAGTAATGATGAAGAGTGGGCAGACAAGTGGGGTTATTGTGCCATGACAGGGCTAGGGGCACAAGGAAAGGGTATGAAACTGGGTTTGTGCCCGTGGATCCCTCCACTGGATCACCCAGCACCGCTCTGCCACGCACAGACATCCTGAGCCAGAGGCTCCGTCCAAGTTGTCATCCTTAATGACCCTGATGGACTTTTCTGACATGGTTTTATCTAATTGCTTTTTGATTTTTGCTGTACTATGATGGATTCTGGTGTGAGGCTTAAGACAGTGGCTGCCAGAATAGGAAAGCATTATGGTTTGGCTGATGATGTATTTACTTGTAAGAGATCTGATCAAGAGGTTTCTGTGGCAGGAATCCCTCATTAATCTCAGGATTAAGCTGGGTGCTGAAAGCTGGATCCCATGTGGAGCCAGAGTTGTCATTTGGGGGGAAGGTGAGGGCTCAGTGCTACAAGGCAGAGACTGGGAAGCTGCTTGGAGGATCCTGACGTGGCCACATGCAGGATATCCCCCATGATCAGCCCGTTTAACCTCGGCAGCCTCCCTGGAAGAGGTACATTGGCACTCCCTTGTCTCACAGAACTGTGGGAGGATAAACACATTCCAGACGTGAGGCACTCAGACTCAGCAGCAATCACAGCTTGTATATGCACTTAAGATAGATGAGACACGGTGGCCTGATGTGGCAGAGGTCTCATGAGATCATCTGTCTATACATCAGCAGCAAACCAGCAAAGGGACTCTGGGAGAAGTCTGGTATATTTGGATATATTGATTCACCCTGGCTCTTGGCAAGGCTTGAAACAAGAGGATGAACATCTGCAAAATATATCCAGCTTGAAGAGGTGCTCGAAGGGGACACATCCTCCCATCTCAGAGGTTTGTCCATTAAGCACATTGCCTGCCATCTTCATACTCCCTGGAGAGGAGGCAGAGGATATTTATAGATTGGACATCAGATCTGGAGCCCAGCTG